AAGATCTTATCACAGAACGAGGATTATTAAATAACCCCTGGTCTAATAAATGGGGAGATTGTCAAATAAGGACCTAAACTACAGCACTATGCATGATTTCTAAATGATGTAGCAGTTAAGGGGTCTGAGGAAAAGGAAATTGATCACAATCAGGAGATCCTTCCAATTATAACACAGCCAGCTTGAGTCACTCACTGCAGTTCCAGCGGACACATTATACACTTGTCAGATAATTACACTACATCTCATTTTGTTTGCGAGCTACAGTAAGAGCTCTTTACCCTCTCCTTCTCCTGTCACTGAGCTCTCCCCAGCCTCCAATTCACACTGTATGTAGCAATTTGTGAGGATCCTAAATTTGCAGCACTTTAGCTGTGCAACATCAAGTGCCCGCCTGTGACTGGGTAGCTTTTATGATACTGATGGCATGTGTGGGAATATTGTAACTCTGTTATTCTTTGTTTTTTGTCAGCAGATTCACAGGTAACTGTGTGTTTGAAAGCCTCAAAATGGCTATAGTGTGCCTTTGTTTGCTATATTTAAACACGAATACCCCATTGAGGTCAAAGCTGTGTCTGAATGATTAATGGTATTATTATACTACTGTCATCATTGCCGCTATGATATTAAATTCATCCTTCAAAAGTGAGCCTAAAACAATGTGTGTAATTACCCGCAGAATTAATTAAAGAAAAGCAAAGTGCTAAAGGACAAGATTTTGTTAAAAAAAAATTACTTGCACTGTATATGTAAGCATCTGTTTCACAGTCAATATTTGCAGCAACATTTCCAATTTAATGCATTTGAGGTTATAGAAGTTGGAGAGGAGATTATATAATACACTTAACTAAAGGAATGTGCTTCTGCTTTTTTATGCTTTAGAAGGCTGTGTGGTGTTCTACAACTTTATGTATTAGCCTATAAAGCGTGGGAATGCAGGCTCTTCAGAACACACTGTTAAAGGCCTCAGGTACTAATACAGAGCATGGATGATGAAGGCATCCAGTACTTTGTCAGTTTGTTAGTCTGTTAAATACTAAGGTCAGCAGCAAGATATCATGACAACTATGAGCTAGACTGTCATGAAATTCAGCTCATCTCAGCAGAACCTTCTGACCTTGGAGCCTTCTCAACATGCTGTTTAAATGTCTACATGTTCCTTTATGCTTCTGTAAAATATAATGTGGGTGCATCCAACCACTTCTGACCACGGCTTGAACAGATGAAAACAAATTAGTCTACTTGTTGTGTTTCCAGAGGTGTGCAATATTAAATCAGCTTCTGTACAGGGTTTGTTACAAAAACTACAGTACATCTGAATCTTCTAGTTTTTCATTTTACTTATCACCAATGTGCAATCGTCTACACCAATATCATAAGTATTGTTTTAATGATGTGCGAGCTGACCTTCTTTACAGAAAACAATGAAAAATGAGCTTTGAGGGTCCACATATTAACTGTGTCAAGTAGGATAGAGTACTGCATATGCACATCAAGAGTGCACATAGTGTGTACATGCTTATGCACCACAGTGGAGCCAACACCAGCTGACATTGGGCGAGAGGTGGGTCCACCCTGAACAGGTCACCAGTCTATCACAGAGCTGACACGTAGAGACAGACAACCACACACACATTCACACTCGCTCCTAGGGGCAATTTAGAGTCACCCATCAACCTAAGCTGAATGTCTGTGGACTGTGGGAGGAAGCCAGAGTACCCAGAGTCAGCCCACGCAGGCACAGAGAGAACATGCAAACTCCACACTGAAAGCCCCCGGGTCGGCCTGGGCTGTAACCCAGAATTTTCTTGCTGTGAGGCGACAGCACTAACCACTGTGCCGCCCACATAGATAATGTTTAAACATACTTGGCCAATAAAACTAACTCTGATTCTGGAGGTATATCATATGCCCATACATCTGTTGAATCCTTGTCAAGATCCATATTTTTCAAGGGGTATTACTAGGGCGACCTCACTGCCACTATGCAATGAGAAGATCAGTATATTACACTCATTAGTGTGATTGTTATAGTCTCTATACTGTACTTAAATTATTTTACTGTTATTTTCTGTGTTTGCAACTCAGTTATTTTTTACAGGATATTTGCAAAAGTTAGAGCACCTGAATTTTATGTGGCATTCTTTTCTTTGTTATAGAAATAAACTGTAGCTGTTTTTAACAAACCAATGCTACAGTAGACTGTTGGTACAAAAACACACCTGCTCGCTTTTGCTGTGTGTTCATTCAGGGTGAACGATAGCTCAACCTTTAATCTGGCCATCAAACAACCAGACATTAATTAGCTGTGAAGATAAAGGGGAGGTGAGGGCTAACTTGGGGGATTAATCCCAATGCTTAAACACTCCCACTTCTCTTTGTGGTGAGTTAGGATCCCATCCAACAAATATGAAAGTGTATTGAAATTATATGTTGGCTCCCAAACATGATACATTAAGAAAGAAAGTCACTACAACAAATACCCAGATTATAGTCATGTGTGTTCCTCATTTTCTAGGCGCTGCTAATTAGACATTTTACCTTCATTTTATTATATAATTCATCCAAACATGACATCAGTTTTGGAGCATTTTGATTGTGTAATCTGTCCCAGTAGCACATCACAAATTCAAGACAACAAATAAGCAGACAGAAAAACAAGCTCATTAGAGGTCTCCCCTAGACTGTGGAACGACACACACTGTCAGTCCTCACACCACTGTCACCACAGTGACACAGTCCTGTGGTGCCAGGGAGCTTGCCTTTTCCCCTGCTAAATACTCATTAGAGGCACCTTTAAGGGTAATCTTTCCCTGTGTTGTAAACCAGAGGGAAATTAACTGACAAACACAGAGAAATACATGAACTGCCATCTGTAACTTGCTGTACTGAGGCCCTGAAGAAAAACTGGGCAAAGGGTATAGAGTTATATAATGTAAAAGTTTAGCTAATGATTTCTGCACCAGCATGCCTCCGGATCAAAGAGGCCAAAGCAGCTGGGTGAGTGCTACTGGTCAGCAGGGCAAACATGAAAATCTTTTGATTAGAACCTGGCATCTTACACATCCCAAACACCCTGGACCGCGAAGGACACACAGCAATGAAAAAAGTCACAAGGCAAAAACAAAACGCTCATCACGGATGTTCATTTTGAAACAACGCCTAATTCTGTACTTCTTGTGATTAGTTACAAACTCCTTTTTTTCCCCATACAGTAGGCTACATGTACATAAAAAGAGTGCTCTAGTAGCCAAATAATTACAGCATCTGTCACCTGTCACATAACCAGAACAGCCACAGTTCAACTCTAGCAAGGGACCATGTTGCGTGTCATACCCTCTTTCTCTTTCCCATGTTTCCTGTCTGCAACTTTGTGATACTTCTAAGTTCTTGCACACCATGTCACCTTTTTGTAGGTGCGTAGGTTCAAGTAATCAATACTGCAGACAAAAAACAAAGCAAATCCCACACACTGCTCATCATTTGTACTCTACATAAAACAGAAAAATGCATAAATATATGCCACACAAATAGATATATATGTCAGTTAGATTTACACCTGACTGTACAACACACAGCTAAAAGTTCATACTACACTGCTTATGTATACTGTAGGTGAAACAGCCTTGACACTGTTTAAAATGATCAGTTCATCTTAATTGTGGGTGTGTATAGCAGTTCTGATAAGAGCTAAGGTCCAGAGTTGTTAGAGCTAATGTCAAACTGATGACTGTAAACCACTGGGAGCGTCTGGCACTGAAGGGACCTGAGCAGGGACCTGAGCAGATAAGCTAATCAGGAGATAGGTACCTACGTTCTGCTTCTGGCCTGGTCCTCGGGAGGGAACATATGAGTGTACAGTCAGCTGAGAGCCAGGGAGGAGAGTCCTCTGAACATCACCGGGGACAAGGGAGGAAACTCAACGGGAGTCTACCTTGTCATACGGTCATGGAAAAACCACAGCACAGATGGTATTTTTTAATCAGCCAGGGGAGAGTATTTTCCTCTGGGATGGAAATACAGGGAGTTGGAACTAGACATGGCAGCAGCAGAGAGACTTGAAGATAAACAGGATAAAGTAAAGGAAACGCTGAGTAACACAAAGGATAAAGGTGTAAGAACACATTTAAAACGCTTAAGGAATAACTGTTGCATTTATAACAATAGATACAATGCAACAGTAGGGTAATTTTCACATGAGCAGCATTACAGAGATTCTGTAAAATGTAAACTGGTTATACAACTTTGTACAGTAAAACAAATATGTGTGTGTGTTTTTTCAAATATTTGAGTGTGCATTCACCAACGGACATCATTTTTACATGTGAATTTGTCAAAACAGTTATTTCTTATTATTGTGGTGGTGGCACTAGCTCAGACATCAAAGGGATGCTTTGGGAGTGGAGATATGTTGCATTGAGGACGGCCTTCAAAGAGCTCAGTATTCATCCTGTGAATACTTTTTTTCAGTAGCATATTCACAGCAGGCCTCTGAAGTGATGAGTTGCTCTCATCTACAGATAAATCTATGAACTGAACCAGAGAGCTGTGCAGTATGAAATAAGACACCAGCTGTATTTGACACAGGACGTTGTTGAGAAATGGTAGTTTCATAGCAGAAGAAAAGAAAACATTCTTACAAAATTTGCTAAACAGACCAACTGAGTGACCACCTATCACCATGACAGCCTACTTTTATTGCCATTCACTCCTGTATCACTCCTGGCTACTAGTTACTTTGCAGATTCATAATATTTCAAGCAAATCAAATAGTAAATTGCCATACATTACAGATTACGATACCCAGAAGTACTTTTAACTACTTGTAACACAGTATTTCTACAGTGTAGTATTGCTATTTTTAGTTATTTTAAAGGTCATTATGTTTCTTCTAACACTTCATAAATACACAGTTACTTTACACCAATGTTTATTTAGTGATAGAAACATGATTATTTTTGTTTTTTCAAGAGGTGGGTAATATGACACAGATAACTCACCGCTCTGTGGATCTTCAGGAGTCTTTTTCTTCCAATTTTGTTTGGCAACATCCGAGTCTTGCCTGCTCAGAACCTCGGACAGCGACTGGCGGGAGCTCTGCCGTCCGGACTGGATCAAAACGTTGAACCGTGCGTTCTTCTTTTTGGCCCGGTCCGGCTTCAGAGCGGACTGGCTCCTTTCCGGGTCATGGTTCTCCGGCTCTGACCCGACTTTCACCAAAGCATTTCTTGTCCTTGTTAGAGCAGAAGTCACCGAGCCCATCACAAAAAAACTGGTTAAAGCCTGCAGACGGAGTGATTTACTTTGAGTTTACCTTTCATTTTAGTCAACACCTATTGAAACTTGACTCCATTTTTGTTCTCGCGATAAAGTCTCCCTGTTCTCTGTCATTCATAAACAGTTCAAATTCATTATTGTGACGATCCCGTACATTATTATCAAGTTAACTGGCTGCAAGAAAACAACAAAGAAATTTAAAGGACCGAAAAAAGGAGTTGATCTGATCATACCGGCATTTCCCTCGGTTTGTGTTTCCTCGACAGGTACGTCACATGGAGAAAGTTGCTCTGTCGTCAAACAAACTGATCTCTAGGGACAAACAGGCGAAAACAAGAGCCATGAATTAACAAACAAGGATCCCGGATTGCTAAAATGAGCGGAAACCAAAGGCACTGAGTGAAATAAGAATAAACGTTGTTTATGGGCGGTAAAAATAGTCTACCGGTAGATTTTTTTGTTAAATCCCGTTTTAACCCATCTAGGGGAAAAGATCGCGAGATTTGTCCAGGGTCAAATAAATTGCTACATTGAAATGTGATTTTATGAAGCTTCTGGTTTCAAACTTATCAATCCGGCTCTAAATGGCCCAGCAGAAAAACAGTTCAGTTACCATCGATTGCCAACAGATGGCAGTGAAATACAGTAGGTTTGTTAGGAAATTCAGAGAAACGTACTGTATTTTCCTGAGTTTGTGGAGAGCGTCTGGTCACAACTGCATACTGGTCTTTACAAAAACTTGCACCGCTGCAGCAAACAAACATTAATAGCCTTTCTTTGAATGTGCTGTTACTTTTTATTTCATGAACTTAAAAACAGAACAAAAGTAACTATGCATAACTCTGGTCACTCTCTACCTCTTCATAGTATCCATGGATATCCCTTCTCTGTAATTAATTTCTCTACTTTCGCAGACACATTAAATTTCTTTGTGCAGCCTCCATGTTCGTGCATCTTAATATTACTTTGAACAGCTTACCGTTTAACCTGTGGCAGATCCTGATTCTGTGATAACTTACTATATAGCTGTCAAATAAATGTGGTGGAGTAAAAGGAACAGTATTTGCTTCTGAAATCTCCATGCAAAATACCTTAAAAATTGTATTATGTATTGAAGGATGTTTTTTTCCAACAAATGCCCATCAAATCATTGCTAAATTTATTAGATTTAATTTCTTACCTAATATCATATGTTTGTACTTAATTAAGTGGTGTGAACCAGGGTGTGAATTACACTGCGTACTGGGGTAAGTTTAATTCATAAAAATGCATTATACTTGAAAACCTATAATGTGCTTTACATGTGAAATCTGCAAAATAACTAGTGACCATAGCTGTGAAGTGAATGTAGTTAGAGAGAACATTTCCTTCTAAAATGTAGTGATGTACAGAATAGCTTAACATTGAAAACTCTAGTAAAGTACAGTAAAAGTACCCCGACTCTATGCTGTTCTAGAGAGGTGTTGATTCAACTGTATGAATACTGAAGTACGTTAGGTGCTACTGAACTGTACTGCATCATACTATCAGGTATCTCTATTATTTTGTCCACCCCCTTTATAGCAGAGGTTAGACTAAATAACAGAAACACCACCCAGTTCAACAGCGGCAGAAACTTTATCCTCCAAAATCAGCATACAGCTGAATCACCTCAAAAACAGTTTCATCAAAATCACCTTTTTGAAAGGAGGATTCATTGCAGGCCTGTTGTATTAGACTGCCTTAGTTTTTAGCTTGCTGTAGACCTCCAGGATAAGGATCCTATCGGTATTACTTTCCTGGCATAATATGAGTGAACATATCTGTCAGTTCTCATTTTACTCCTCTGTGACTCCATTACTTTAAAATGATTAGATGTATGTTTACTCCTGTGTTTCACTTGTGCTTTCAGAAGATAAAAATCATTTGCAATGATGTTAATACAGCTGAGCAGGTTTTGCTCTTAATAACAGCTGATCCATGTAACCCATTTATCTTATTGTGAAAAACGTTGACTGATTGTACAGTTTAATTACTAAAAGACACCAAAAAGCTCCTTAGAGCTGAACTGCTGAGTTAGGTGATAATTCTTTGTCAGGCATTTTTTGAGCAGTTTTTTTTATTGCATTAGTTAATAGGTCAGGTTCCCATACTGCAGGAGGACATCGCTCAGAGCAGCTGTCAGAATATTTTAAAGGACTACACAATTTAATTACTGTCAAATGTAAATGTTTTAGTTCCTGCATTACTTGAAACGACAACTATTTCCCCTTTTTCATATGAGGAACTGTTTCATCTAATGCTACTTCATGATGTGACGCAAAGTATTACACCTCACGCACAGCACTGAGTTTCAGTCTTTAGGGTTTATTGCTGCATACAGACAAGTGTGACATCTTTAGCATACATATTTCCTGGAGTGTGCATGCTGTATTGATTAAAAATGCTAGCTTGGTTACAAAGGAGGATCCTGTAGCTCTCAGTAGGATCTCTATGTTGTGCTGATTCATTATTGAGTCAAATTAACTGTAACAAAGTAATACTTTCAACAGAGAAGGAAGCCAAATACAGTCTGTATCAACTAACAGGTTGACTGAATGATCATATAAAGGCACTTTTCAAAGCTGTTTGCTTTCTGTGTGTTCTTGTTTATTTGCTTGATTGTTGCCCCAGTGAAGTGTTTGTTCATATTGCTTGTGTTGGTTGTTTGGCAAGGACAAAGACACTATTGCTCCATGTCACTGTGGTTCTGGGTTGATTCATTGATCACCTGAAAAAGGATGAAGAGGGCAGAGAAAAGGTGGTAAGCAAGAGTTGTGTTTGAGCTCAAATGAAAATTCATTTATTGATTAAAAATCCCTTCCAGTAGATTCTACCTGACCGTCCCTGGTCTCAATCGTCTTGATGAGAACCTTTTTGCCTGTTGTGGTTTCAATATGAGGTTTGGAATCAATCATTGTTTCTAAGAAAGACAAATGGTGCATTATATTATCAACTGGCAGTATAATATACAATACATAGAGTTCTACTGTAAAATCAACTTGCAGAAAGTGATTGTACCTCTCAGGTTTAGAGAGGAGAAGTTGGGCAGTGGGGTGGAGATTCTGAAAATGAAGAAAGTACAGTCCACAAATGAATATGTGTATTTGTTGCATGTAATGGCAATGTCTTAGTTAGACAGCAGTTCATCCATCACCTGCTCTCCTCTCCTTCCAGCAGCTTCCTATAGGTGGCAATCTCAATGTCCAGGGCCATCTTGACATTTAGGAGGTCCTGGTACTCCCGGAGGTGACGGGCCATCTCGTCCTTCATGTTGTGAATGTCCTCCTCCAGACGGCCAATGGTGTCCTGGTAACCGCTTGTCTCCAGGGAGAAGTTCTCCTCCATCTCTCTCATCTGGCGCTCCAAGGACTCATTCTGGGACGACAGCCAAGAGAGTAAAAAACAACGCCAAGGCAGTGGAAACAACTAGCAAAATAAAAAATAAAATGCACGGTTAATTTTTTGCTCTGTGATCTGTGAAAAAAAAATTTCTGGGTATATTCCTCTTTGCTGCATCATCCTTCAAATGCATCCATCCTATTTTCTGAACTTTCTGTGTCCAGTTTGTTTGTTTCTATATATGGACTGTGCATCATTAAAGTTGCATACTCACAGTTCCTTTGAGAGCATCCACCTCACATGTAAGTGATTGAACTTGGCGTCTATAGTCATTGGCCTCCTGCTTGGCCAGTCTCAAAGCATCATTATTCTTGGCCGCAGCTTCAGTGAGGTCAGCAAACTGTTAACCAAAGTGACAGACAGAGAGATAGAGGCAGAGAGAGCTGAAAAATCAACTGTCCAACACATAATGAGTCACAGGATGAGGCTGAGTGAACGTGACAAATATTGTGATGCGCTCAGTTATACTGTTTAAGAGTGTGGTGGTTAATGCGGCCAGCTAACAAATTTAATATTCACTCTACTCTAAACTCTGTTTTTTCCAGCTTTGTCAGCCATTTGGTGCTGGGCAGGTAGAGCACAGGGTATTTTTTTACTGTAGATATTTTGCATTCAAACAGCTGCATACTGCAGCCAAAAATGCTGCAACACTGAACCAAAACAGCAAAAACAGGGGCCAAAAAGGAGCTGAAAAACACCAAATTGATGTGTACAACTGATGGTAACTGCAGAAACTCTGGTTAAAGCAACTTTGTATTTTATGGATGAAAAATGTACAGAATGTGGCATAATATTAACGCTGCAGTCCAGGTATTTATTATGTAGCCTTTGAATATGTTTTTTATGTTGCAGTCTCCAACTATGTAGAAAATCTTTACCTTGGATTTGTACCATTCCTCCGACTCCTGGATGTTTTTGGAGGCCAGGTTTTCATACTGAAGACGAACGTCCCTCAGAGCTGCTGTAAGGTCAGGTTTAGCTATCTCCATGTCAACCTGCACATGCTGCTGCTGGTGGACCTGGTTTTGTAGCTCCAGCATCTCCTGCAACAAAATCAAATTGCCTATAACTAGAAGTCCTTTTGATTTTTTGCCAATTCACATACACTGTATGTTCCTTTTTTTTTTTAACAATAGCATTATGGGTGTGTAGACATTAACTGTAATGTTGTTTTGCATACATGTTATGGCATTTCTTGTTGTGCTAGAAGTGTTTATTGACTGCTTCACTGAACTGTAACATGGTTGGTAATCTGAGCAGATTAACAAATACTTCACATTCTTTGGCCCAACTTTTTAAGGGCGCCTTTATCTTACAGTATTAGGCCATACATGGGCAGGGTTTCTGCAGCCAGTTTTAGCCACAAAAAGGAAGCTTACCTCATCATGCAGCTTCTTGAGGAAGTTGATCTCCTCCTGGAGTGACTCTACCTTTCGCTCAAGGTCCAGTCTGGCGAGGGCAGCATTGTCCACGTCCTGTGCCGTGACAATGATTCTTAATAAGATGCCTTGAGAAGATCATATTAATTATGCATTATGTCTTTGCTGATACAGAAACAAATGCTCATTCATACGCTGTAAAGAGCATTCACACAACACCCATGTGCACAACCATTGTGTAGTGTAGCAAGGTCACAAACTCATGCATCCAATAAAAATCAACTGTAGGCACATGACGAGTGGCGCTGCAGATGATGTAAAAGGCGAATTAGGTGTTTTCTCTTGACTTTCATATGTCACATACTCTGCAGCATCTCCTCCTTCACTGCATCACAGGCACATTAGCAGTGGTGGAAAGTAACTATGTTCATTCATATAGTTATTCAAGCACTGCACTTTGGTATTTTTCTACTTTATATTGCAGTACATTTCTGTAACACTTCTTTAATCACATTTCAGATTAAGATTTTACATGATCACCATAAAAAAAGCCCATAAAATATGATCAGGTGCACTACTATTACACTACCAGGTTCTGTGTAAAGTACCTAAAATTGACATACTTTGAAAAATTGCCATATTAGCTAATACCATATAATCCAGCAATAAAATAAATTACTAGTTTTTGCATGAGTGCTTTTACTTTTGATAATTTACATTTTTCTGATAACTGACTTTTACTTAAAAGGGGATTTTGAATGAGGCATTTTCACTTGAAGTGCAGATATTTCTATTTTTATTTAGACAGAAGACCTGGAAACCTCTCCTACCTCTGTGCAGTGACAAAACAGGGCTTGTGAAATGGAGTCTGAGACCACTTACTGCCCAATAAAACAAGCAAATAAAACTCAGCAATTCCCTGTCTGTCTGTGCTTATGTCTGGAAAAAAAGGCTGTGCAAAATTCAGTGAGACTGTATCAGTCCACTTGATTCAGAACACTCTGAACCATACGGCACTGCTCACAGGGCCCTTAATCTCATGTATTATTACCTAACTGCAATCTTACCCTGAAAATCCCTCCTAGTTATTCTGACAGAAATGTAGCTGTTTTTCTGGAAGCTCTAATTTTGTGTTATCATTTTACCTCTACTGAATTAAGTACCTGGCAAAAAACATTACAATGCAAGATGTGATATCATATGGAAAAACATCCTAATCCTTTTTTTAAGTGAGTGAGTGTACATACACACTCACTGTGCCATCACACTGCTGTGCTTTGTCAGGGAGTGGACAGGCTGGTAACTGAAGTATCAGCAAATGAAGCAGCTTGGCCTCTGCTCTAATGCCACAAACAAAGTGTGCTATTCAGCAGGGTTTCCCATACAGGCCTGAAGCTGGAAGAGTGACTGCCTGACTAAGCGAGAGCCGACTGCAGGCCCTGCATTGTATAATGTATAGGATGCAATCTCTAACAAGACCATAACAAGTGAGATTTTTATGCACTGGTGCTCTCCCAGAATGAGGCAGCTGGATCACATGGTGGCTTGTCTTCTCGCTCTGATAACCACACTGGGTCCACAACAGTTGGGCTTGTGCCCAGCTCATTCAGTGGGACCAGTTAGATTTAAAAAGACTGCTTGTCACTGCAAGCCTGATTTAACTCAACAGCCACATCTTGGCCTTTTGAACCAGAGTCAGTTCTGTTCTACACCTATTTTTTGTTATGGCTAGAGTTTGCTGTTGTGTCATCAGAAGAGTGCATTCTTGTTTCTGCAGCTCATGAGTGATAATTAGCGATAACCTTGGAGAGAAAAGGCACAGTCACATAGCTGTTAGAAGTAACAGGCATCGATTTCGGGGTTTAAAGCCTTACATTACCAGGAACAGCTGAGGAGGAGCAGTGGAGGGCTCAGAGCCATCAGCATTTTCTGCTGTTGTAAACTATAGTCATTCTTTATCATCACTCTCTTTGCAAAATTCACCTATATTAGAAAAATATAACCAAACAGTTTTATCTGATGTTGTAAAAACAGTGAATCCTGGTGTAGCCTACCTGCCTGAAGCTCTGCATGTTTGCTTCAGCCTCCTCCCGCTGGGATATCTCATCCTGCAGCCTGCAAAGACAAAAAGCAACGCGTTTTATTGCAATAGCCACTGAAACCTTTCCTCCTTAAAAACTCCCTCTGACCTCTTTTTGTGTCTGCCTAAGTAAACTTTCCTCAGCCACAAAGCTGCAGCAGACTAAGAAGATTTTTCGCAGCGCTTGGCAAATACAAGCTGGATTAAGTCCCACCGACACTACCAGTCAAAGGCTTGGATAAACTTTCCCATTCAATTCAATGCGAAAACTTTTAATTGGTAGCGTATATGGGAAGAAGTTATCCTATAAATGATAAAAGCGCGTGCACGCAGTCTACTTATTATAAGGCATGATAGGTCTACTCAACAAAAGCTACATGGAGTTTCTTTAACATCTCAGAGAATCGAGAAGTTCCACGCCTCCTACTTCTCTCTCAGCCTGCCGATGTCGTCGGCCAGGTTATCCCGGTGAACTTCCACCCGGGCCTTCTCGTTCGTGAGCTGGTCCACCTGGCGCCTCAGGTCCCGCATCTCGTCCTCGTACAGATCTCCAACCCGAGATGTGCCTTTTCCCCGCAGCTGCTCCACCTCCGCCAGCAGGATCTTGTTCTGCTGCTCCAAGAAACGGACCTTCTCAATGTAGTTGGCGAAACGGTCGTTGAGCGACTGCATCTGCGCTTTCTCGTTGGTGCGGTTCGTGATGAACTCGCTGTTTATGGCGTCGGACAGTGAGAAGTCCAAGTTGTCGGAGGCCAGCCGGGGCATGGCTACGCTGCTACGAAACCTGTGGGTCTTCGCTGCGTAGATGGTCGGGGTGGAGGAGAGACCGAAAGATACCCGGGACCGCACCGGGCTGGAGAATTGGCGGGTGGAGCTGGTCCTGACCGTGGTCCTCTCCCCACCAAACATCTTTTTATAAGAGGAATGTGGAGCTGACCTATAAGACATCTTTTTTGTATCTATTCAGAGAACCAGCACAGTAACGTTGCCGATTTGGTTGCGCTCTCGTTCCGGCAGCATCAGCTGAGTGCGTCTGGGGAGGCGTTTCCTCAACTATTACTCATTTATAGAGTCGTTCTGATGCAAATAACTCAAGGGGTGACTTGACTGACGCATTGAAAATCCAATCACACACCGGGACACACTTAGTTGTCTTTCTGGTCCATAAAATAGATCGTGAATTAACGTTTAGGTCAAACTGCTATTGCGCACAATGACACACAGAGTAAGGAGTCATCAAATAAAGATATATGAAGTCTGGAATGTTCTGTCAGATTAAAGATGTGCATCCTTAAGCCTCATTGGGTTTCATAGTATGGGTCTGATCTTCAAAAACTATTTAAGTTCAACATTTAGCTTATTAGGACACAGCAGATTGTAAGAGTTTAATGGGGGATACTTTATTAAATGTAGCCTAGTTGAAATGGGACATTTAAATGTGGAAGTCTCATGCCAGCAACGTTTTATTCTCACTGTTCAGATTTGACACAGTGCAGAAGCTGAGTCAGTGTGTTTCTCATCTTGTCAGTCACCTGAGATACATGCACTCCACATGCATTTTCACACTGCATGGGGATTATCCCTTCTCAAAATTTTCCTAGCATCTCTCTCTTTACTTTTGTCTCTTTCTCTGCTCTGCATAGAGAGGCGTTGGTGCTGCAGTGCTGCTGACTTGCTGAGATTCAGTGATTCTGAAGGGCAGTAGTGCTGAGCCAGTGACACTCGACACTTCTCAGACATGCCGCACTATTGCAGCTGAGTTTACTGTGCTTGTTAGAAAACATGAAAGAAAAAGTCAGTAAAAGAGAGCTGATCTGGATAAGTAATGTCTGTTGACTTGATGACAGCTTTGCTTTGTGGGTGCAGGTGGCTGAAGTGATTTGAAGTTGGCATGTGGCCCTGGAGCTATGACTGTGCAGGGACAGACCCGGTTACTCAGTGAGCTGGGTTGATTCCTGGCAGCATTAGGCCAGAAAAATATAGTAAGTACATTTTTAAATAATAGAACCATTGACTTTGTCTGAACAAACTGGAGAACAACTTGTTTTATCTTTGTATTCTTACTGTATTCTTATTTTCCTTATCCTCAGTACATACATAACAGTTTAGATTATGTACAGTAAAATATTTGTCATATCAACAAAAGAATATTTTTTATAACCCATATATCTACATTTAGTTGTTTCCAAAAGTGGAAAAGTATTCACAACACTCACTTAAATAAATGTAGCATTGTCATACAATTAAAAATCCTGCAAGTACGCTTGTGAAATACATGTATTGTAAAGTAAAAAAAGTACAGTACAGCATAAAAAACTTATAATACTTGAAATATAATTAGTTACATTCCACCACTAGTGAAGTAGATGGAAAACCAGTAGTTACCAATATGTATTCACATTCAGAAAGCAGCAATACCACAGTGAAAATACATTACAAGTAAAAGTCCTGCATTAAAACATTACTTAATTAACAGTATATAAGGAGCAGAATGGACCTAAAATATCAAATTAGTAAAAAAGTACTTGTAATACAGAAAAATATCCCCTGTTAGTGTTTAATATTTATTTGTTGATTATATTATTGGATTACTGTTGTGAATGAATTCATTCAAGTAGCATTTACTGAGGTAGTTGCTTGAGTAAAAGTACAGTATTCCAGTCCTTATTAAATCATACAATAAGAAATAAAGTAACCAGATAAACACAGGCACAACAGTTAAAAAAATAAATAACTGTGTTTACATGTGCATATATAAGGCCCATGGTGCCAGAGGGCCTGCACAGGGACTGCAGTGTAAGTAAACAGTTGAACCACTTTACTAAAAGCATCAATGAAAATTCATATGATCAACACCCACTTAGAGGCAGGGTGAGGACCATAACAATCCCTGCTCCCAGGCCCATTATGAACCCCCTCCACCAGTGTTGGCCACAGATACAGACAGAAGGGATTGTGTATTGCTGATCTGTCACCTAACTGCAGCAACAGAATGCGGACAGTAGGCTGTAAGTATTGTTTGTAGCCGGATGTTTGCCAGTGCCACAGCATGGGCCAAATAGTTCCCATTTTTGGCAATGTTTGGAATTTGTTATTTGGTGCTTTTATTTTCTGTTGCTGAGGCTCCTGTTTTTCTAAAGCAACAGCACAGCAGGGGAACCAATTGAAAACTTTGTACATGACAAGACAAAGAATCCAATTACAGTGAACATTGGTCAGAGTCAGTCAGCCTATAATGAAACCAATGGATAAGTTAAGTTGTATTTCTAGGTGTTATCCCTCTAAAACCACAGGCACTGGACAGCAGAAAGGCATCTCTTTGTTTCATCTCCCCTGATGGTGAAGCATCCATCTGTGCACCCAGTAGCCTTAACAATCTCCCCCAGTATTATTTGCCCAGGCTGCTAGACAGAGATAAATTCAAGGACGGTCTTGTTCACAGAGATCATCTCTTACAGATTATTACAA